AAGAATTATTTAATTGCTTTGTCATTTCCTTGTTTTACATTATCAATTTTCCCATTTCAGAATGTAAGGGGCTTACATTTGACTGCTGTAATCTTTTATATATCTATAGAAATCCTTACAATCCAATTTTATCTTCTTTGCAAGTTTATTCTCGTACTTTATTTTTTCCTTCTTGATCGACCTCTTGGACTTCCTTTGCTGAAATCTAAACTCTTCCCCTGACTCAGACTTGCTACTTTTTTCTAGCAACTTTAAATGACTCCTCCTTGGATCTAATACTATTGTTCATTTCTCTCATCTCCCCCACAGTATTAGCAAACCCCACTGAAAATATGGGGTGCAATCTGTCCAGCTTGTACAGATCCTTTTTTGCCCCAGAATCAGTATCAAAGCCTCAAGAATTGAAATCCCTCCTAAAAGAGCACACAAGAAGTACACCAGAAAATGTGGACAAAGAATCAAGAAAGAAGAGTGCAGTTGACACCATATATAGTTTTGTTCAATAAAGCCTGTTAATGTTAATTCACCTGTTTATAGAATTGGTCATATTACAGGGGATTCATAATGCAGCTGACTCAATTTTTCAAGGGTGGCCATTGTCATTGTGAGGCCTTTCTGTGGACCATGGACCAACCATAAGGGAAGTTTGCTTGGAACTATTTAACTCAAAGTGGAGTGCCATCCCAATGACAGAAAATTGCTGGCAGGATCAAGAAGTGGCTCCTATTTGAGGAATTAATTGCCTCAATTTGCTGCCTAGTAAATGACCATATGTAAAGGTTTCTGCATTGAGTAACATACTATAGTTGTGGATAGACTAAAACCAACAAACGCTGGAGATCACAACGGGTCAGACAACATCCATGGAGAGAAAGCAAGCTAACGTTTCGAGTCTAGATGACTCTACAACAGAGCTGAAGTGAAATGTGGAGGGGACAGCATTTATGCTATTTGTGTGGAATGTGGGGGTAGTGGGTGTAGGGTGCTGGTGGACCCTGCACCCACTACCCCCACCCCCCCAAACTATAGCATAAATTCTGTCCCCTCCACATTTCACTTCAGCTCTTATGCACAGTCATCTAGACTCAATGTTAGCTTGCTCTCTCTCCATGAATGCTTAATGACCCGCTGTGATCTCTAGCATTTGTTGTTTTCAGTACAGATTCCAGCATCTGCAGTAACCTGCTCCGACATTTTGGATAGACTAAATTGTTTCTTGATTAACAAAGGCATCAAGGAGTATACAGAATAACCAGGGAAGTGGTTGATGCCACTATTAATTTAGCCATGATCTTGTAGCATGGTGGAGCAGGTTCAAAGAGCAAATGGCCTACTTCTCCTTGTGTACATAGGTTCAAATGTGAGACACTGGATATTGTTTCGTATATTACATCGGCCAAGATTTTCCCCGCTTGCTTAACCTATCTACATCCCTCTGTACACCCTTTGTCATACCTCCCCATGCATTTTTATGTAATCCGCAAACCTGGCTATGGTAACTTCATTCCTTATCTAAGTTATTCATATATATCATAAATAACTGGGCCCCAGCACTGATCTCTGTGATACTAGTTGGAAGTTGCCATCCTGAAAATGATGCTGTTTTCCCAACCCTTCTATTAGATGGCCAATCCTATATTCATGTTAATATACTTCAACACCATGAGTTCCAATCTTATTAAGTAGCCTAATGTGTGTTACCTTATCATGCCTCGAAGTGAATATGAGCTCTAAATGCTTTCCATGGGATATCTGCTTCTAACGCTTGTATCTATCTGTCAAAAATACTTTGCTTAACCTTTCAAATTCAACATAGATTTGCCCGGGCCGCTTCCTTAAATCCCAGAACCTTTACCTAGATGTGTCAGCCACTAACTTACATGCAACAACTATATACTTTTACAGTGTCATGATCCTGAGAAACCTCTGACAGTGAAGCATAAATTTCCTACACTTTACCTGTTAGCTTACCCTGCACAAGGAGTGTCCAGTCTTCTTTTTGCCCAATTTTGTCTAGCCATTTTCTCAAATAACATGAATGCCTCTGTATACACTTTTTTTCTCAAATTCTGGAACTCCTGTGCAAACTTAACAGTTGCTAAAGAAAATAGTATTGAAACTGAGATTGGAATGCAAAACCTATGCTTGAAAATACATTAAAAGAGACTGAGCCATCAGAGCTCAGTAATAGATGATGAGTCCAGTCAAGCAGTCTGAAGAAGAGTTTAGATCCAGAAACTGAGAATATGAAGGATACAGTTGATGCAGCTTTTTCTGTTACATGCACATAAAATTGATAGATTTGAGCCTTTCATAACATTTTCAGCAGATTTGAAGAGATTCTGCAGAAATGTGCATTCTTGGTCATGACTCTGACCATGGAACTCCGATCAGGTTTCTGCTGATTGAGGATCAGGTTAAATCCTAGAAGAAGAACAGTTGAAATTATTTTTTGAGGAGGGCAGAACTTTGAAGGACTTTGTGATTGAGATTGATGACATATAGGTTAAAGGGCATGATCTAACAGCTAATATTGTTTCTGGGTTTAAAAATATAAGTAGTTACACAAGATTGTATTTAGTATTTGTACAGTGTACAGTGAAAATTATTTTGATTTAAACGGTGGAATTTTCTGGCTTCATTCAATAAATTAGTAGGATTTTTGATTTTCTTCTTCTTCAAAGAAAAGATCGCAAAAACATTACATCTCAGGGATTCAGTAATGAGGAAAAGTACAATTTGCCATTCAAAGAATAAGCAGTAAAATTCATAATGTTCTTTACACAAAGGGTTTTGGGAACAAAGTTACCGTGTTTTTGCTTCAGTGGAACCAAAGAACAAGGCCAGCAGGTATACTTGTGGTTTGGGCAGATAGCATGGAGAAAATAGGTGCCTTGCCATATGACTACACAATGAAACAAAAGATTAGTATGGAGGGACACAAATGACTATAAACACAAAATTGTAAGAATGTATGTAAAATTCATTATGGGTTAAGATAGAATTTTTATAACTGGTGAGACTGGTTATAAAAACTTCTGAGTGCTGAATACAGCTATTTCACAAATGTAACCATTATTTAGAAGTCTAAGGTAATGCGTTTGGAAGGCTAATAAAGCAAGAACATATACAATAAAAGACAGGATACTGATAATTATAGAGGAATAGTGGGAGCTTGGAGTGCATAACCACAGATTCTTTAAAGTGGCTGATCAGGTACATAAGGCAGTCAAGAAGGCGCATGGAACACTTGCATTTAAAAGCCGAAACACAGAATATACAAAAACCTAGTCTGGAGAATTTTAGTTATGAGGAAAGATTATAAAGTCAAAGGATTGCATATAGGCTATATTGAGAGGTGAGGTTTGAGGTACAATTAAAAGGGTGAAATACAAAAGAATAAATGCTGGAAATAAGTAATACGTTGTGCAGCATTTGTGGAGTCTCATTAGCTGTAATGCAACTAAGGGCATCTAGTGACTGTGAAAAGCACCATATAAATTCAAATACTATTTTATTGTTTTCAAGACCACTTTAACCAATATCCTTTACTTCACAATTCAAATTCTTTCTTCCATTGAGAAAAGGCATCGAGTTTCACTCTTACAAAAATCCTTTAGAGCAGGATTATCAATAAATGAAAATCATTTTCAATGTTATTCATACAAATTAATATTGCAGATGAGATTTCTGGAAATTTCACATTTATATGCTTATCAATTTTTCCAGCCTTAATTTTATCACTTGTTTTGTTTTTAAATGCAGTTTCAGGGAAACTATAATTTCACCCTTTTGTGTGCCAATGGTACTTGGCTTTACTGCCTCACTCTTGCGCTTGATTTTACAACTGTTCCACCACTGTCTGATCTACCGTTTGACATCTAATCGCAGAAAATGAAGAGTTTCTGAAGTCAGTTGAAGACCAAAGTCATTCTACTAGCCATCCAGCAAAATTTCTCCAGTTTATTGCTTGATTACACCTCCTTTCTCAATCTCAACCCCGCACTGGCCATTTTGCTAGTTGCTGAATTTTACTTCAAGTTTCACCAAGACCATTTGCTACTATCTGGAAAATATCATGTATCTCAATTCTATTCCCCTCAACAATGAAATGGTTGTTTATGTCTAAACTGAATTCAGAATTGACTTTTCTAAACCTTTTCTTACCATCGCGCTGCTCCACCGAACACAAACTTCAAATGACCCAGAACGTTATTGACATTCAGTTCTCTACACTTCGAGTGAATCATAACCTTGATCTCAATATACCCCCATTCTTCTGTGCCCAGCGCAAAATCTTCCAACTTGTGTATAAATTCGTATCTGGTCTCATTTCTCCTCACCTCTGCACCCTCCTTTAAGCTCTAAATTCAGTTCCCAATTTGCAGGTCATTCCTTATTGCATTTTACCATCACCACCAGCGGCATACCTCCAACCAGTGAAAGTACTTGCACAAGTTTGAATGGATTCAGTTGCATTCGAATTAAAAAAAAGCCTTTTCTTAAAGAACATTGGTGGTATATTCTGAGGGTGAAGATTTATCGAAGTGGGGACCAGAAAACCTGTCACCCCGCTAGTGTCTGAATTCTCATCAAGGCTGTGATTGGATACAATGTTTTTAAAAGGTTCTTTTCTATGCAAAGTTGAGTGGCAGTAACAAATCGTTTCACTCTTGATAAATCAGGATGTTGCTTTCATCAAGGGGCGGCGGCTTGAAGAGCGGGACAGGCGCGTTTATCATCTTTCCACGCGTCTTCCACACGAGGGGTGTAATAAAAAGACACGGATCTGCAATCCTGAAATGTGTGCTTTTGCGGTAGACCATGTTGATTAATCTCGATTGTCATGTTGGTGGCCTGTCTGTGAGAGCGTTGCCGATGTTGACACGGTAGTAATGGCTGCCATGCGGGATGGCTGGATGTTGGTGTGTGCTGAGCTCGGTGAGCTCCCTCGGAGACCGGTCACCATGGTTACCGCATTGACGGGCTGCACCAGTCGGGAGCGATGGTCATGTGCTGAGGCAAAATGGCGTCTCGGAGGATGCAGGGTGATCTGGAGTATTTGTAATTTCACAGTATTCATTCTGTCTGTAGTTCACTGTACGCGGCTGATTTACGGTATTTGCTTTCTTTATTAGTTTTAATTTTAGTAAACGGGTTTGGATAAAAACCTGTAACATTTCTTGTTTTATTCATATGGACTGTCCATTATTTGGAATAAAAGGTATTTTTAAGCTACTTAACAAGTTAGGAGGTGGTGTCTTAAATGTGTAATTAATGGTTCATTTATTTCTCCTATCGATAGAAGAAGGGTTGAAAGTGTCCTGAAGCGTCTATGAGCTTGGTGACTAACTGGGTGTGAAATAGTGGCTGGGCATTATAGCAGTCCGCAAAGGAAAGGACCGGATTTCCAGAAATAATGGCTTTACCTGTGTTTGGTAAGTTGCACCGACATAATTTAATACAAAGCAATTTGATGTTCTGATTATCTTGTTGAAGAAGAATCCGTTATAACTGCACTGCGGATTGGTTGTTTTATTTTATGATTGGGAATTGCGAGAGTTCTGTGTGGACAGGAGTCTGGTTATTGTGTTTGTTGCTGTTGGTGAAGGGCGGATGCTTCAAAATACGATATGCCACCAAATTTTATTAAGAGTTAAACCAAAGTTTGTTTTGCTTTGCTTTGCTTTGCTTGTGTAACTATTATATTCAGAAAACAGTTTTTCTTTAGTAAACAGTCCTTTTAGTGGTAATCAACATTAATCCTGAACTGGATTTTTTGCAGGATTAAAATAATCTATTTTAATCTGTACAAAACAAGATAATGGTACAAAGTGTATAGGCCTTATTGGTTGCAATAAAACTAAACTGTTATAAATATTCATAATATGGTTAAAAATGTACTTATTATTTGTAAAACAGTGGTAGATTTTGATTTGGGAGAGGAGGAGGATATGGATTATTTGTATTAATTCATTGAGATGTTGATTCTACAGATGTGGCAAAATAACTAAAAATACAGCCGGTTGATGAGTTATCCTGTGACAAGTGTTGATTATACTTGTAAGATTGGCATGAACATAAATGTGAAGATAGTGACACTTAGATTTTAAATCAGTTACTTGGTGAACACTGATTTTTCGTCTCTTTTTATTCTTTTATGGAATTTGGACTTCAATAGTAAGGCCAGCATTTATTGGCTATTTCTAATTACTCTTGAACTATGTGGCTTGCTAGGCTATTTGCTGGGTAATTAAGAGTCAGCAGTATTGTGTGTTGGGAGTCCCATTTAGGCCAGACCTACAAAGGACTCTCCAGATTTCCCTCTTTAAAGGACATTGGTCGTTATAAAAAAAAACCATCATGTTCACTGATGATTTTTGTCATCATCACTATTAGTAATTAGATCAGTTTTATAATTCCAGATTACTAATGAATTTTAAATTCTACCAGTTACCATGGTGGAGTTTGAGCCCAGAGCATTAACCTGGACCTCTTGTATTACTAGTCCAGTGACATTATTGGAAAATTGTCTCCCCTAAAATATTCTAAGACAGACCAGACAGCACACAACAGTATCAATTCAGAAGCAGACATAGCTGAAATTCTGTTTTTTTTTTTTTTTTAGCACAGTCATAAAAAGTGACAACGGTATAAGGAAACAATTTGGCCCATTCTGTCTGCACGAATGATGAGTCTTCAGTGAAGCCATTCTACCCATATGCATTTGCTTGGCTTTTGTGATACATGAAGCAGTTCAAGAAGGCCCCCATCACCACCTTGAGCACAAATAGGAATGGACAAAAAGTGGTGCCTGCATCTCATGAACAAGGTTCAGAAAAAAACTTTTCTCATACTGTCAGCTGTGGCTCCATTCTTAGCAATTTCTTTTTGAGTCAGAAAGATGTGGGTTCAAGTCTCACTCTAGATACTTTTGGACTCCTAGAATGGTAACAGCTCAAAAGTACTCCATTTAACCTTACTATTGCAGATCTCAGCAAAAAATCTTTCACCTAATCCCATTGCCATACCTTTTCCTGTAGCCTTGAAAAAAACTCTTCAAATAATTACATAATTCTGCTTTGATGGCCTCCAGAATAAGAAATGTGAAGTTAAAAAGTGGGATCAGTGTAATGGAGCAAGCAGTAAGGTCTAAGTCTGGGTTACTGTACACATGTGCGAATGCTTGGTGTGGTGAATGGGACTTGCCTTCCAGGGGCTCAAAGGTGTCAGATCTGCGAGGGAAAAATATTCTGGTACTGCTGATAAAGAGAGGCTGAGGCTCGGAGCCTATCACTTAATTTCTTGGGGTGAGGGGAGTCAATCTGTGAGGAAACATGTTCCAAGGCTGTACATAGAGAGACCAAGGCTCAGGCCTTTTCTTTTACCTTCATGGAAGTGAGAGGCATCAGACCTGCAAGGGTGCACTTTTCTGGGAGCTCAACTGTACTTGAAAAATTGTCTAAGAGCAAAAATCACAGGATAGTCATGAATTGATTGGTTGTTAGCAGCTGCTGTTGTGGGTTGTGTTTCAACTCCAGTAAGTTTGAAAAAGATCAATTTCTAAGTTAGTACAATGAAAAAGTGAATGTTTAAACACCGAGAGGAAACTGGCTTGTGAATAAAGGCGAATAATTCATACAAAATGGAAATTCGTATTTGGTAGTATCAAAAGTATGGTTCGGGTAACTAAAGTTAAACGAAGTAAAGTCGCATACAAGCCTAAGTTTAGGGCATGGCGGAACACCACAATCAAGTGAAATGCCCATCCTGCGGCACATGGGGAATCACAGACCCTTTATGAAACCTAGACGAGACCACATGCCAGAGGTATCACTGGCTGCACAAGCTTAAGCTCAGGCTTTCAGAGCTTGAGTGGTGGCTGGAGCATCTGTGAAGCAGAGAGCTAAGTGGATAATGAGAGTCCAGAGAGGTGGTCACACTGCAAGAAAGGGACAAGCAGGCAGGTAAGGAATGAGTAGTGGTCAGTCACTTAAGAGAAACAGACAGGTAGTGCAGGAATTCTGTTCTGCAAGTTCTGTTCACTGACCAGTTTTCAATTCTGGATATTGGTGAGGGCAATGGATCTTTGAAGGAGTGCAGCAAAGCTAAGCCTATGACACCATGTATTGTCCAGCTACACAAGAAAGGAGGAAGAAGGCACGATGGGTAGGGGATTCTTTATTAGGGGTCACAGGGGTTTCTGCAGCCATTAATGTGATTTCAGGATGTTTTGTTGCCTCCCTGGTGCTTGAGTTAAGGATGTCATAGAAGTGCTGAAGGACATTCTTACGGGGCAGGCTGAACATCCAGAGGTTAGGATCCCTATTGGTAATAGCAACATAGGTAGGAAGGGACATGTGGTCCTGTAATTGGAATTCACGGATCTAAACAGAAAATTAACAACTGGAACCTTTTTAAGGTATCTGTGTCATGCGTAACTGAATGCAGCAATAGGATGGTGCCAGAGGGAGAAACTTCAATTCCTTGGACAGTGGAACTGCTCTGGAGGTGATGGCATCTGTACAAGCTAGAAGTGTTGCATTTAAACAGAGCAGGGGCTGAGTTAATTGCAGGCTGTTTTGCTAATGCTGTTGAAGGTTTAAACCAACTTAGCAGGGTTGTAGGAAATAGGAGAGTACATCAGAAACTAATACCAGATTATGTGAAATGCTGGGAGGGACTAACAGTAAATTAATAAGTGAAGTCGGAGTAAGGGAGAAGATAATGGAGTCTAAATCAGTTTTACTCTGCGTGCACAGAGTATAGTTAATAAGATTGGAGAGGTACAGGCACAGATTACCATATATACCATTGATGTGGCAATAAAAGACCTGCATTAAGTGAGTGCAGATCTGGCTGTTAAATGCATCTGGTTACAATGTGTTCAGCAAAGATGGGGAAGTATAAAAGGAGGAAGGGGTGGTGTTTTTTTTTTATTAAGGTGCGCACTGCAGTAATGGAGAAAGAGGGCGTTTCACAGGGTTCAAGGATGGAATTGGTTTGGCTAAAGCTAGAGAATAAAACTGCAGTTGAATTGCTTGGTATAATCTGTAGACCACCAACTAGTGGGAGAGGTACAGGGAAACAAATCTGTAAGGAAATTGGAGAGATATAAACATTTATAGAGTAGTTATAGATGAGGTTTTTAATTATCACTATTACAGGTCTGTGAGGGACAAGGGTTCCTAGATTTATGTTCAGGAGAACTACCTGCAGCAGTATGTCTCCAATCCAACAAGAAAGGAGATACTACTAGACTTGAGTTTTGGAGATAAATTTGGTAAAGTAGATTAAGTGACAGTGGATTTCGGCCAAAGAGATCAAAGCATGGGGTTTAGGATGATGGTTTAAAAAGTGTCTGGTCAATCCAGAGTAAGAATGATCAACTGGTAGAGAAAGGAGTTTGTTAGGGCAAAAAACAAAGACCAGATAGACTGGAACCAAAGGTTGGTGGCAAGAACAATGTGCTTATGACAGGTATCGGGTAGTAAATACAAGTGAGAACCAAGCGAATACATAGTTTAGAAGGAGGTGACAAAGCAAAGAAGGATTATGAGAAAAGACCAACAGCTAACATAAAACAAAATCCCAAAGTCTTCTGTAAACACATCAGTAGTAAAAGTGTAGTAACAGAAGGTATATTGCTGATTGGAGTTTAATTTGGATAAATGCAAGGTGTTGCATATTGGTGGGTCAAACCAGGGAGGACTTGCACAGTCAAAAGTAGGGCCCTGCAGAGTGTTAGAGAACAAAGAATTCTAGGGGTACAGGTTCATAGCTCCTTGAAAGTGGAGTGACAGATAGACAAAGTGGTGGCAAAGGCTTTCGGCATGCTTGCTCTCGTCGGTCGGAGCATTGAGCGTAGGAGTGGGGACAGTTTGTTGCAGCTGTATAAGACATTGGTGAGGCCACATTGAGTTCTGCCTGCAGTTATGGTCACCCTACTATAGAAAGGATATTATTAAACTAAAAAGAGTGCAGAAAAGATTTACTAAGATGCTACTTGGACTGAAAGGCTTGAGTTATAAGGAGAGTTTGGATAGGCTGTGACTTTTTTTTTTCCCCTGGAGCATAGGAGGTGACTGTACAGAGGCTGTAAAATCATAAGAGGCACAGATTGAGTAGACAGTCAGCAGCATTTCCCCAGGCTAGGGAAGTCTAAAACTAGAGAGCGTAGGTTTATGGTGAGAGGGGAACAGATACAAAAGGGTCCAGCATGGCAGTTTTTTTTCGGAGTGGTGGGCGTCTGGAACAGGCTGCCAGAGATAGTGGTGGAAGCAAGTACAATTTCGTCATTTAAGAAACATTTAGCCAGATATGTGAATGGGATCGGTATGGCGAGATATGGACCAAACACAGGTAAATGGGTCAGAGATAGTAGGAACTGCAGATGCTGGAGAATCCGAGACAACAAGGTGCAGGGATGGATGAACAC